AATCTGCTCAGATACCATATTTGTAAGATTTCCAATAACCTCAGTTTGATCTGAATGAAGAAGCAGGAAGTTAGCGGCCTGCGCTCTGACTGTTTGTCAGCACGGCTGCAGAGCTGAGGAGAAACCTCGAGTTTCACTTCACTTAGTGATGAAGAGGAAGATGTTCATCCTGGGACTTCTGCACTGCGACGGTGCTTTACTCCTTACAGGGATGCATCTGCATGTCATGCAGCAAAGCTAACATCTAACAGCAGTTTGCCAGTGCTGCTTACTGTCTTTGTGTGGTAGTCAGTCAGCTTTGTTTATATATATTTAAACAACAGGATTATTGTTCCTTAAGTGTTTCTATACAACCCTGAAACACTTGCTGACATCAACATCTGCACGTAGACAGACTGTTAAACAGCACCGAGGCTGCAGCTGAGAGCATGAACACTAAAGGTCTCTTGATGATTCATTTAATGAAATAATGATTATAATCCGTCTTAATGACAGAGGCTGATATTGATCAGTCCGTTACCTCTGCCTGGCTTCCTCCCAGGTTTCAGTCTCACTTTCAGTAACGTGGAAGAATAATCTGATGTGCAGCGACGTTTCTTCTGTCTGATTATCTGCAGCAGCTGTGCGTTCGTTCCTTTGTACCCTTTTCATATTTTTCATTCTTTTCATTCTTCTTTGGTAAATCAGCTGCTCGGCTGCAGGTACGAGCCCCTCACTTCACCTCTGCTTGAAACAAGCTGTTTTAGCTCCTCCCCTTTAAGTCAACATGTTGCTCGTTGGTGGTCATGTTTTTGGTCTATGGCTGGAATCAAAAGGTGCGATCGGTTTGTTTTGATCGGAGATGTATTGATCAGAGCGCCGTTGGCTGGGTGTTCATGCTCAAACACTGATTGGACGGTGCTACAGACGTGAGACGCTCCATTTCATAAACGAGAGCCCCGCAGAGAGAGAGATATCACTGCACTGGGTGCTCATCACAAACCCCAGGGTGGCTGATCATTTTAAAAACGGGATCCTGGGAAGATGAGTTATTACTGGGGCGTCGTTTAAAACCAGTTTCACTGCATTTTTACACCAACTAC